TATAATAATATATATTATATATAGTATATATATATATATATATATATATATATATATATATATAAACATATATTTAATTAACAAATATATATTAACAACATAATATAAATGTTAGTTGATTAAGTAATCGGTATTTCAGTCAAAGTCAATCTTAGTCTCCAACTTCTTTTAATATCTTTCATCTATTTTATTTCTTAGTTTTAATGTGATAAATTTATAATTTCATGTTTATGTTAAAAAAATTTTTTATTTCATAAAGCTGACTAGTTCGACTTTTGAGAGACTTCTCACATGTGTTCTCACATGTGACAAGTGTGACGGTGAGATGTGAATAAAACGGAGCAGTGCGGTGCAGTTGAGGGCTAAGAGGGCGGTTCGAATGGTGCGGACGTGTGCGAGTGGTGTCTGGCGGTTTTTTAGTGTTAGAAACCCTCGGTTTAGGTAAATCAGCTCTTTTCAGAGCTCAATAGGATTAGATAGACGTGCAATAGTAGGATTTATTAAGGAATAGGTACAATATTAAGGCAACATAGAAAAATCAAAGGATAACGAGGAGCCTCCGGGAGAGGGGGGGCGAGAGGAGAGAAGAGAAAGCATAAGCCTTACACTAAGAGAGAATGAGACACTAAAGAAGACAATAAGAAGACTTGAAGCAAGATTAAACGTAGAAATGAACGAAGAAAGCAACAAAGGAAAAAGACCAGCGACAGAAGACACGTTGGATCAATTAATGCTCGATACGACGAACACTGAGAACGAGAATGAAGATTGGAAAATGGTAGAAAGAAAGAAGAAAAAGGCAAGGAAACAAATTCCAAAGACAGAGAAGAGCGCGGGAGAAATTAACAATACTATTGGTCCGAAGACACGTGAAACAGGAGAGGACCAATCGGAAGAAGAAATGGAAACGGAAGGGGAAGGAGACATGCCAGCAACGGCGGGCTACAACAAAAGTACGCAGTCAGTAAGTAACAATACAATACAACGGACAAATACGGCGGATAACATGGCAATGAGTAAGGAGTTAAGGAAAAGGGAAGCATATGTGAGGGAGGATGGTATGCTCAAACACATCAGTGAGATCTCTTTTTTTTTTTCCCTCCGGTTGGAGGATGTCGGAATTTCCGACTATGCCTTCAACCCTAGGGTTATATGACTCAGGCTTATCTAAATCCTTTTTTTACTCTCTCTGTGTCTTATATTAAATAATGGTTACATCCACGAATAGCGCTGTGGTGTATTCCCCTCTGAAGAATCCATTCTTGATGTCCGTAGTGATTTGAGTCAGGTTATCCGCACATGACTTTCCTCTCCTGAATCCGTTTTGATCTCTGGCTATTAAGTTATTTTTCTCTGCCCACCATACCAATCTCTCATTTACCATCCTTTCCATGACTTTACATATGCAGGACGCCAAAGCTATCGGCCTGACTTTTTCCTGGTTTATTTATGAAGATCACTTGATATTCCTGCCAGCTTCTTGATAGCACATTCCCCTTCCATATTTCGTTAAGTACCATCAGCATTTCTTGTTGTATCCCGATTGGTAATAATTTGACCATATCATACTCGATACCATCTCTTCCCGGTGATGTATTCTTTCTTATCATGCTTAATGGTCTTTTCCATTCCGCTGTTGTGAATCTTTCCTTCCATCCTAGTCTCTCCTCCTGTTTTCCTCTCTAATTTCCATCGGTGGATTCTCCACGGACGGGGGAGCCAGTTTTTCTATCATTTCTCTTATACATTCCTCTCTGTTCCTACTTTTCTATTTATTCCATTCTATCTTTGCCCTACAGTTCTTGAATATCCTCATCGTGTTCCATACATAATTCATACTTATATTCTTGTTAATTGATTTACAGAATGATTCGAAGTCTTGTGTCTTTTTTGTATTTGTATCTATTTTTTCTTCGCCACAGCTCTGCACCTCTTATTATTCAATGTATGCATGCATGGTTCCCTTTCTGA